CAATGATCAGAAACTCCACCGACAAACCGCGCTCCAAGGTCCTCTCTTTTCTCCCCCATGGGGACGACCCTCAAGAGTTCGCAGACTCAGGCGTCGAGTCACAGCGTCCTCATTGTGGGTAATTACTGCCACGATGTTCTCCTCCGGAACGGCAACATCATTGCCGAGACTATTGGGGGCGCCGCTTCTTTCATGTCAAACGTCTTTAACGCCCTATCCGTTTCGTGTCATTTGACATCGAAGGTTGGACAAGATTTTAAATACCCAGTTAGTTATGACCCAATTGTTGTGTCCTCCGCGAGGACTACAGTTTTCCATGCGTACTTTGGTGTGGGTTTGGGCGGGAATGGGCGCCAAGATCGGGTCTTGAAACGAGTTGAGGCCTGCGACCCAATTCGTCCGGCGGATCTTCCTGAGATGAGGTTTGATTTTGGGATGGCGGTTGGGGTTGGCGGTGAGATACTTCCCGAGACGCTTCAGAGAATGGCTGAGATATGTGATGTTGTGTTTGTGGATATTCAGGCTCTGATTCGGGTTTTTGATAGGAATGACGGGACCGTGAAGCTTGTGGGGTTAAAGGAGAGTGGATTTTATCATCTGTTACCGAGAATTGGGTTTTTGAAGGCTTCGGAGGAGGAGGCCTTGTTTATGGATGTTGAGGAGGTGAGGAAGTGGTGCTGTGTGGTGGTAACGCATGGTAAAGATGGGTGTAAGTTGTATTGGAAGGATGGAGAGATGAAAATAGCGCCATTTTCAGCTAATCAGATTGATCCAACAGGCGCTGGGGATAGCCTTTTAGGTGGTTTTGTTGCTGGGTTGGTTCATGGGTTGGCTATGCCCGATGCTGCTTTGTTGGGAAACTTCTTTGGTTCTCTTACTGTTGCACAAATAGGTCTGCCCAAGTTTGACTTCAGACTGTTGCAGGTTTGTTTTCGAAAATGCCACTTCCATGTTGTTAAGAAATTGTCTGGTATCATGACATCTGGTTACTGTTTGTTAAATTTTCTTCTATGGAATTAAGCTCCTTAAAGTCTAGTATCATGGCATGGTTGAAAAACAATGGAATGAAATTGGGTTATCAAATATGATTCAGATTCAGAGATGTATATTTAGAGGTACCATCAGTTGTTTTGATTGAACAATTAAAATAATATCTAATATTGTTTATACTTGATATGTGCATAGACTTCAGTTGATATGCCTATACCATAACAATATCTACTTGTAGATTTTAAGGATGTCTTATATGGTAACATAACCCAGTGTAATGCAATAATGATGTTTCCCTATTTTTATTTAGCTTATGGACATGGAAATTGACACCATCAATATACTAATAAGGTTTGATTATTAGTATAAAGGAACTTTTGCATAAAGGAATTTAGGTTACTTGCCGATTCATGAAAATGCTGACTCTAATGGGTAGTTGATAATTATGCAAAAACGTAACTCTCAGGCCAAACATGTGCTCCCATTCTTGAGAATATGCTTTATTTTTATCATTTATGTAAGATGGTTCATTAGGACACCTTTTTGGTGCAAGTTATTCTTCTTCATGAACCTTTCCTTACCGGCTTTCAAGTTGCCAACTCAAATACGAGAGAATCTACATAAGTTCTCTCCTAAGTTTGTAAAATTGAATAATTTCATTTCACGAGTATAATAGGAGTTTGATTAGGTTAGGTAAGTTATGCAGCACTTAGAAGTGCAAAGATCTTTTGGTGGTAGCATGTTGCCAATGGGTTGTGACAAACTACTTAGGCATAATATCCATTATATTTTGTAATGAAGTGAGAATAATTCTTTGAGAAAAAGAAAGGTTTGTTACTTGTCATCTGACATATATTATTTGCACATTCCAGAAAGTCAAGGATGAGGTGCAGAGGAGGAAGATGCAGTACAGGTCTGATAGCAGAGTTGAAGAGCTGAAGCATATGAAGCCATCAGGACACGAGGAATTCCATGCTTCCCTAACTGCAGTTAAATCAATGTCTACACATTCAATTGAAGAGTGTGAGCAAGATTTTCTGGTACCGGTACCTCCTCCCAAGGCAGTGGAGCAGGTCAGAAGCCCTCATTATACCTTGCAACCTAAATTGTTATTGAATAATAATCCTGCCTGCGAGGAACCAATTGCAACAGTCCATGGAGAGAACCTTCAGCTCTAGGGAGTCAGAACATCTAACTCTTTTCTGCATCAAATAATTTTGGCTAGGAGAGTTGTCTTTTCTATGTACGACCATGATTTAGAAACCATTGAAGAAGAAAAACGTAGCTCGCCTGTTGCGGTAGCATTTTTGTTCACTGACATGTAGAGAACCGAGAATCTCAAAAGGGTCTAGTTTGCTAGGGGAGTAATGCTGTCTTGAATCTGCTTCGTTTATTTTTGATACAAATGATAAAAAAACTAGTTAGTTAACTGCGCAAGAATGCCATGCCCAGCATGTCCTCTTCTAGGAAATCTGCTACGTTTATTAAGTATTTTTTTTCTTCCTTTTTTTTACGTGGTTATAACTATATATACTAAATTGTTAAGATCACACAGATTTTTTTTTTTTTTTGCATAATAGAAGTAAATCATCATTCATTCTTTATTTCACTAGACTCATATAATATACAATTTAGACTCAGAATCGTTTATTTTCAATGAAAAGAGATTATCACTAAATTATTTAAGTCGTTGACTATTGATTTTTTCTTTATGCAATTAGTTATTTTATTTAAAAAATAAAAATTTATTTATATATAAGTTTTATATA